CCCTTGTTCCTACGCTTCATGTTTTTCCCAACTACCTCAGTATCTCTGGAACTATCAGAGAACGCAGTTTTGCAACTTTAAAAACCATCCAGATTTTTCTTTCCCACTGTGAATGCTCCCTGAGGTACCTGGTCCCACTGCAGAAATAAGGACACATTGACAAATGCATAGCACTTAATAGGCCTCATTTCGCACAGTATTTGAGATACAGAAACTTTTGAAGTCACAGTAATATTGAATGCACAAGAGTTACCTAGGTAATTTACACTCTTCTATCAAAGTCAAATGTTCCTCAATGATGTTGACTACCATGAAATAGGGATGGACTCTAGGCAGTCTGTAAAACCTGATTCGCTGGGTAAAATAGCAGCCTAAGTTAATAAAAAACAGAACTTTTGAAAGAAATATTGACATATACTGTATACATGCAACATGACAACCTAATTACTAACAATGCCTTTTTGAAAAGTTCTGTTTTACTTATTTTGCATAATTGGTCTGAAACCCCTTTTTTATTTAGTAGCACCATTCATTTATATACAGCTTACAAATATTCTTATTTGTTCTTATTCAGTGTCTACCACTGTAGACGATATCTCCTCTCATAGATCTTAGAGTCCAGTTTAGAAGCAAGGCCAGATAATACAAAATAATTAACACAGGAAAGTCTTTAAAGAAAGTGAATTCTCTTAGATAAGTTCAACAGCACCCGTGTTCTTACTGAGTATATTTGCTCAGAAAATCCCTTCTTTGAGATGATTAAATGTTAGAGTTCAATACAAGTTCAGCTGAATGATGAAAGTTAGACCTCCTTTCCCTGTGCTTTCCCCAGCATTTTCTTAAAACATCAATTAAAATTGTGTTATAATCTATGAAATTTCATGTTAGTTTTTTCCTGTGTCTTTTATGGGCCCCTTCAACTGTCCTTATATGCAGGGCATAGTTTAGTTACTAGCATATCGGAGATCTTCAATAAATGAAAAATGTATTTAGTGATGCTTTATTATTCGTATAATAAATATAAATTTATCTCATATTTCTTATAATATATGATACTTTAAAGCCTGAATTGGAAGCCAAGAAAGGGTGGCAATTGGATCAAGTCACTTAACTTCTGTTTCTCATGTCTTGATTTGCTATTTTCATATTCACAGTTATGTAACCCATTCCATAATTTTAATTTGGCAGATAGTTATTTCGTACCTTTTTTGAGGAGAAATTTGTTATTAGATTAATTCATAGCCTAGCTGGTGCTTCTCATGTGACAGTGATCCTGATATTGACAGAATCTTACTTCTTTTGTCATTTCCCTAAAGGATAAATAAATTTCATTGGATGCAGTGAGTTTTTTTTTAATTTTAATCATTATTTTATTTATTTATTTTACTATACTTTATGTTCTAGGGTACACGTGCACAACGTGCAGGTTTGTTACTATCACAGTGAGTTTTTTAAATGACATCTTAGAACATGCCATGGGACTAGAAAAAAACAGGACTCTAAAATTCGTAGGAAGGCTTAAAATATTTAGAATCTTCTTGTCTACTAAGAGACCCAAGAGGACAGATAAATTCTAAGTTCATTGGTGGGTCTTTATAACTTCAGATTTCAGAGAAACTCCATCATGAGGAACCCAGTCATGATTTGTCTCTCCCTATGTTTGGGCCTCTTCCATGCTCAAGATTCCATGGGACTCAGGTTAGAATCCCTTCTATCTGTGGTACTGGCAGTAAAGAAATCCAGAGGCCTAAATATCGCTGGTGAACAATGAGGGGCTTGGCCGACCATATAAAGTTCAATGACGCACTATATGGTGGCACTGGAAAAACATTCATTGGGTCAGTACTCTCCAATTGCAATCCAAAGAACGTATTTTCACTAAGAAAAACTGGCGTGCATTATCATGTGGCAATTGTAAATCTGTAACTATATATAAACATTCTGATATTAGGAAAGATAAAGATGGACACAAATAAAAATAATACTTTTCCTGATCTCTCTTTGCTATTGTTAACAAGAACATGTAAACAATGGAAGCAAGGTCTGAATTAAGTGAAATAAGTCCTTAATTTCCTCTGCTAATGGTATGGAATCTTGGACAATTAGAAACTTACTTTCGCTTGGGTAGGAAATCACTTTGGCTGGCGATTTACTTTTCCAGTTACAAGTATCATGAACTAACAATAATTTCCATTTTCCTACCCTTGAGCAAGGAGGAAAGAGCATAGTATTAATTCACATAGAAGAACAGCATTATGAAAGAGCACATTTTTGTGCCATGAAATATGATGTTTTTCTACTTTTTTGTAACAGGATCCCACTACAATTACTTCATTGAATTCAATAGTGAAATATTTTTGATACTTAGATAACTAACCCTTTTGAGTAAGAAGTCTGATTTTTAACTCTATAACAAATACATAAGATTTCTAATTAAAGAGTTTTAAAAATAAATGTTAAACTTCTTTAGCTCAACTGTTTCTGTTTTTTGAATTATCACTGGGACTTTCTGCATAGTTCCTTTCTTCATTCATCCACCCTTTCTGTCATGTAAACTTTTCCTGCTTCAGCCCTAACTAGGCACTGCATTTCTCCCAGGCACTGGGGAAGCAACAGTGGATAGCAACAGTCCCTATTCTAATGTTGGCTAACATTTAAGACATGAATAGTTTTAGCTCATCAATTAACTGCCCTAGAGACTTAGAAAAAGTCAGCTGAAGCCAAGTTGATGAGTAGTTATTAAACACTTATGTCCTCTGTAGCAAGTCCCTAGGTTTATGTCAATTTAAAATTCTGAAAAAATCTGGGAGTGTATGTGACAAGTGTTCTGTCACTCCGCTCATGATTGTTCAGCTATTTTTCAGGAACATTCAGAATCTAAAAAAGGACCTGGGACTTCTATTTCCTGGGAAAACTTGAAGCCTCTATTATCTCAGCTCTTAAATCCTGTAGAGTGAAACCCAGGGATTTCTAACACTCTAGAATAATTGGAGCAAAAGTAGTACATTCTTTTTGCTCCAATAATATCCCATAATAAATTGGTATCGCATAATAAATTGGGATACATTTTACCATCAGAAGACAAAAACAATGATATAGCCTGGATTATCTCATGAACATGGTGTAAATACTCGTTTTACATAAGGCTAAGTAGGTACTTTCAAGCTTGTACATGCTGAATGTGTTTTCCCTATGAGTACACCAAAAACAGTTTTATTTAGTTCCAATCAAGCAAATACATGGAATTCTTTTCATTTTTATGTTCATAAAGTCAAACGGTTTGGGGATAAATTCCTGCCTTCAAAAGATTACAACAGAAAGACCAATATCTGCATTTTCCTACCAAAAACAACATGGTCTAGAGCAGGAATCTGTAAAACTTTTCTGCAAAAGCCCAGAGTATAAATATTTTAGGCTTTTCAAGCAGTATAATCTCTGTCACAATTACTCAACTTTTCCTTTGTATCGTGAAAGCAGCAATAGACAATATGTAAATAAATAGCATGCCTGTGTTCCAGTAAAACTATTTACAAAACAATAAGCTGGCCAAATTTGGTTCACAGGCCAGAGTATGCCAACCTCTGATCCAGGTAAACCTATATTTTGAGCAACGGCAACATTTGTTGTATTCATTTCGTTTGTTACTCCTATTTTTATCCTATCACATACTGAAGTAAAATACTAAATAGTAAAAGAGATTTTTAAAAATTTATTATCAGGTATCTGTTGTAATAATAATTCCCTGGTGAGAATATTCTCAAAAAACTAATATTTGTCCACTTAAGTGCCATTTTTCCCAACGATGATAACCTTTTGATCATTTTTCTACATAGTAGATTGTTTTCATTTGCTCTGTATCATAATGAGTACAATTGAAATTTTGTATGCTTTTCTGGCAGTCTTTCTCAACTAATTCTTATGATCAGATGAACTATCTAGGGGCAAATGCCCTATCTTAGTTGACCTCAATCTGCAATTATTTCCCAGTTAATATTTCCATTATTTTATATATCAGTTATCAATATCTATGTGTCTCTAGTAACCTTCTTCCCTTTGTCCATACCTCCTTTTACACACCCATGCATGAAATATGCTCTTGATGAGGAACTGAATCCTGATTGAGAGACCAAAATAACCTAGTGGCTGGAATCATATAAAATGTTACCATAAAGCCAACATTGAGTTCTTTTAAAGAATAATTGCATTTCTTTTCTGGGGACACAGATTTTTACAATAGCTATTTTCCACAGTACTCAAAAGCTTGGTTGCTTCTTTCTTGCTCTTTTGGAATAATAGATTTCTATTACTCTCAATGTTTTGGAACCTAGCCAAAATTAGCAGGTAAATGGAGTTTTCTTGGTGTACTAATACTTCTTTATTTACTGAATTGTTTACTTGGAAAAAGTGATATCTTTGTGTTTTGTTTTGTTTACTGATTTTGCTGCTTAAGTTTTTTTTTCTACTCTATCTTCTGCTTATGTCTCACTTTCTCTCTACAATTTAGCCCAATGGATCTCAACCCTGGACTATGTAACTATCATCTGGGGAGTATCTGAATACCAAACCCTAGGTCCCAGCCCATAGATTTTTCTAATCAGTAGATTTAGGGGACAGAGAACAGGCATTAGTTATCTTTTATTGTGATTGTTTAATATTTCCAGTTGATTCTCAAGTTATTCAAGGGCTAAGGACTACTGGTTTACTATATCCGATTTATTTATTTATTTTTAAGAATTCTGTGTAAAAAGATTTTGTGGGCAGGGGTTTACACTGATACTCCTCCTTCTATTTTGTGGCATTTAAATCTAACACATATTAAATACATGGTACACATTTATATACACATTTTTGATAGTCTTACGATGTGGAAAAAATAGGCTTTAGCGTTCAGTGTTGAGATCTTTCGTTTTCTTTTTCTCGGTCAACTATTGTGCCTTACATGACTATTTTTTAGTAACTGTGAAGTCATGTGTGTGTTACTGTCTTTCTCTTTTTCACAGCACCAGAAGAATGGGCCACAACCCGCTCTAGCTTGAAGGCACCACCACCGAGGTCAGCAAGAGGGGGATACAGGGAACACCCCTATGGTAGATATTGAAGGTCCTTCCCACCTGTGACCTCACCTTAAAGACAATTCATAGCCTGTGGTCTCCACATAAACAGCAACAAGACAAGTAATAGTCCTTTTTTTTTTGTTTGTTGTTTTCTATTCTAGGGATAACTGCTCATGATTACTCCCATATATTTCTTGTATTTCCCTCTATACTGTTGGTGTGACATTGACACTAGTATTATTTTACAAAACAGACTGAAAAAGACATTGGCAAGCATAGTCTATAAACCTCTCAGTAGGATGATATTCTCTTGGTTGTTTTTCATTGTTGTGTGTAATCTTTTTTTTTTTTTCCTTTTTTTTTTTTTTTTGAGACGGAGTCTCGCTCTGTCACCAGGCTGGAGTTCTCAACCAACTAGCAGAAACTTTGTTTAGGGTTGCTAAAAGACTGTAATATGATTTTTGAACTAGCTGATAATAAAGTTGTAGATAAGATGTTT